CGAAGAGGCCAAGCAAAAATGTCCGGATCTGAGATTGGTGCACGTCTCCACGTATGCTGTGAGTCTGCGGCTGCCTGCTGTGCAGATTGTGAAGGATGCGAGAGAGGATGAGCTCACTGTCAGCTGAGCCCTGTCCTGCGCATACATCCAGCCTGGCTCGCCCGTTGCAGGCTACAACGCCGACCCTGATCCAAGCACGCACAAAGTGAGCTTGGATCCGTACAGGCAAGAGTCGCTAAAACTGTTGCAAATCTTCAAGCAAGGCCTGCCGCTCGGCGCAGTCGAAAAGGTCAGTCTACAGTCATTTGGGAAGTGCGAAGCGTGGAGCAGGTGCATGCAGTCACTCTCCCAGTCCTGCGCAACTCAGTCCCAAGTTGCTTACCCTACTCTCGCAATCGTCGCGTTATCGGGCAGGCGAGCATCGACGAGTCTTACTTTGACTTGACCATCGAAGTCAGGCGGGCCATCTTGCAGGCTCATCCTCACTTGTCCAAGCCTCCGCTCATGTCCGACTATGCAAACCCTCTGGATGCTCCACTGCCTCTGCCCGTGCCCAACATCCTCGCATGGGGCGGAGAGCGCGGGGAGTTGGTACCGGTGAAGCGCGTCTCTTGTCCAGTCGGTGACGACATGAGCATACAGGCGGTGTCGATGACGTCGGAGGAGAGGCAGTGCAACTGGACGGACGTGGCGTTATGGTTCGGAGCTGGCATCATGAGCGATGTGCGGACGCGCGTTCGGGAAACGCTGGGATACACGACGAGCGCGGGGATAGCCAGCAACAAGACGTTGGCAAAGGTGAGCCGCTGCGGTGAGCAGTGAGGCAAGGCATACCTCCAGGACTCACTGAAAGGTGACTTGTTTGTCTATACCAGCTCTGCTCTTCCATGCACAAACCCAACATGCAGACTACCATGCTGCCCGCCGCCGTGCCCGGCTTTTTGCAAGATCTGCCGTTTCAAAAGTGAGTCCAGGCATGTGATTCGGGATGCTCGCCCTTGTTGAGCAGGCCGCTGATCTGGAGCGCACGCATTCCACCACTAGGATTCGCTTCTTGGGAGGTCAGCTAGGCAGCGCGATGGCTGAAGAGTGGGGCAACTCCACCGTAGGAGGACTCTGGCACATTGGAAAGGACGAGATGAGGGCTCGATTTGGAGAGGAGAGCGACTGGGTGTGGAATGTGAGTGACGCGTCACGCGTTTTGCCATGACCTAGTTGCTCACTTGTCGACTGGGCCTTGTGCTGCGGAAAAAGGTTTTGCGAGGCATAGACCACGCGCCAATCTTGGATCGTATCTCTACCAAATCTATGCTGGCTGCGAAAGCGGTACGACCTCCCATACGCAAGGTGGAAGAAGCATATCACTGGCTAGAAATTCTCTCGACGGAACTGGGCGTCCGCTTGAACGCTGCCAGACAAGAGAGCGAAGGTCTGTGGCCCAAGACGCTGACTGTGAGGTGGTTGGTAGCAGGAGGCAGACCCCAGAGCAGGCAGGCCCGATTTCCATACTCGAAAGAATTTGTCGGTGCACCGATTCTTGGTGGAGCGAAAGGCTTGGTATCCGCTTCCGAAGCTGTGAACCCAGAGTCGGAGAAGGAAAAAGCTACGGACGACAGGATTTCGCAAGTGCAATACTCGGCTGGCTCGGCGTACATCTTTGGACGCGCAAAGGAGCTATGGCGAGAAGCCATGGGGGAAAGGCTCGCCAGAGCGGGACCTGCGACGGGCGTGCAAGCAGACAATTCCAAACCCATCATCAACATCAGTCTGCAATTCAGCGGACTCGAAAAGCTGGAAAGTGGACAGAGGGGTATCGAAGCTTTTCTTGGCGCCGACACTAGCACAAGCGCAAACTCGAACTCGAGCGGCCGCGCTACCGAAGGCTTGCCCAGATCGACAAGATTCGGAAATGGCGCGAG